CCGAGCATCACGGGAGCTTGACCGGCCACACCGGGATCGCCGGCTTGGAACACCTGCGGCTGCGACGACGCACTTGCATTTTTCGTTTCTGGTACAAGAGCGTCATCGTCTTCCACAGCGTCTGGCAGCGTCTAGCGCAGCGAGGCGGCACTGACGTTGTACAACGTAGCACCGGCGAGCACAATGCCAATCGGGTTGCGCAGCGCCGAGGCGACCGGTATCGGCCGACGAAATGTACGTATCGGGTAACTCAAACCAGTAGCGACCTAGACAAATTTAACAACGATACACCACGTACACAGGGTTTGGCAGCACACAGCGCTGGATGTTGGCACGTTCGACGGTCTGGTCCACAAGGACGCTCACGACGGCGCTTCGCGGCTTCTCGGTCGGACTTGAAACGGCGCCCGACTGGAGCGCAGGGCGTACAGTACGGTCGGAGCTGCAGGCGCCATTTGCCACGGCACGGTACATGGGTACGCTCTTTGGCGAACGGTTCGACGACGGTCGTCTCCACCGGGCATCCATCAGAGGTAGCAGCAGCCCGGTCCGTTGACAGCTCCGTGGCCGCCAATGGCCGTGTGGTGCTGTAGGAGTTAGTATGCGGCGGCAGGGCCGAGGCGTGGGTGCGGCGAGCATGGCGGGCGCGCCCCAATATGACTTTGGCCCTGGACGTCCAAAACAGAAAATGCCTGTACCAATGTTTAAATTCTATTAAGATGAATCAATGTCAACCCTAATCACGTCCAAGTTTGTCCTATCGATGCAAGGTGGAGTTGTATGGGTTGCGTTAAAACCGCCGATGCTAGTTGTATCAAGGACGGCACCAATGAGTGGACAATATCAACACCACACAAGTTAAAACACGTCACATTCGATTACAAAGTTGTTCGAAACATAGGGCCGCCGCTTACTTGGCGACGAAAAGCTTGTACGCGGCAAAGAGCGCCGCAATGACACCCGGCACAAAGATGATAGCAAGGTACGTCTGCGGCGTGCCTTCCGGGCACGGCTCGCGGCCACCGGCAATGCGGAAGCAGCTCGTGCTCTTGAACATGGACATCAAGCTGCCCGTGATGGACGTGACGAGGATGATAAAGAGACCGACAAAGATGAGCGCGGCCACCTTGGGGTAGCTGCCACCGTTCTTCTTAAGCTCGGCGACGGCCGCGCGCTGCGGCGGAAGGAGGAACACCCAGAGGCAGCCGACGACCACAAACGTATACGAAATGACGTACGAGTAGGCGACCTGGGTACGCGTCTCGGGCGCGTCGGCCTTGATGAGCTTCTTGCCATAGTTGAGTTGACCGTCAATCATGTTGGTGAGAATCGTGCCAAAGGTACCCGGGAGGTTCGACACCGTCGTCAAAAGACCGTACATGACGCCTTCGTTACCGACTTCGGCGAGCTCGACAATGACGTACGTGCCGACGACAAAGTTGATACCAGACGGGACCGTCTCGATGAGCGGCACACCGAGGTAGAACCACTGGTTGCGGACAACGTCAAAGATGGTGCAGAACTGGCAGACCGCGTCGATCGCGTACGTGACAAGGATCGTAATCACGAGCACGAAGCGCCAGTTCCAGTGCGTGCCGTA